TAGGAAGACATGTCTTATGTCATTATAAAATACATAATCCACAAAGGAGAATATAGATAGATTTCAAAACATCAGGGTTACATATCTTTTTGCTCTAAAAGAATTCTTAAACAGAGAGAAGTGAAAAAAATTCTCAGACATTATGTTCTATGCATACCACTAAAAAATGATCCTATGTATCTAAATCCTAAGATGAAAAAAGTAAAAATCAATAAGAAAACTTAATACAAAACCCCATACAAAAATGGTTAAATAATAATAACAAATACATTATAAAGACTCTATACAGGGGAGCTGAATGAAGATTCTTTTACTATAACAATAGTTGACTAAAATTGCCAATCAGTCAATGGACAAAATTCTCACTCTACAAGCTAAGAGCTTATTAATATGTGAAAATATTTTACCATTTATGCTTGTGATTTACTATGCAAGACAACTTGTTCATAGAAAAATCCAACTGTGAGATTTTTCCAGCTTGTGTCCTACAATTAACTTTCTACCTTTATTCCCAAAAAGAAAGGAGAAAACAGCCATTCTTCACTATTAGTCACTTTGGTCCCAAGTGAAGAGGAAAACTATTTCTGCACACCAAATAATGAAGGATTTTTTAAAAATTTGTTTGTATTTATTTGTTTGTTTATTTATTTATTTTTGAGAAGGAGTCTTGCTAGTTGCCCAGGCTAGAGTACAATGGTATGACGTCGGTTCACTATAACCTCCATCTCTGGAGTTCAAGTGCTGAGTCTCAGCCTCCCGAGTAGCTAAGATCGCAGGCGTGCATTACCACGCCTGGCCAATCTTTGTATTTTCAGTAGACGTGGGGTTTTCCTATGTAGGCCAGGCTGGTCTCCAACTCCTGACCTCAAGTTATCTGCTTCCAGGGCCTCCCAAAGTGCTGCGATGACAGGCATACGCCCCCTCACCAAGCCAACGAAGGGCTTTTTAAAGACATCTTGAAATATTTTAAGCAAGCATATCATGCAGTTTACTTCTTTAAATAAACAAAATTTGTCTGAATTTAGACTTATGGGATCTGTAGGAGGGAAATCCTAGGAAAATACCTGCTTAAGGTAGCTGAACACTGAATCCATGATTTTCTGTCATTTTTCCCCTATTGCTAGAGGGTTTAAATGTTATCTTTTTTATTCATTTTAAAGATTAGCCTCTCCAAAGTTTATTTCTAAGGTGATATAGAATTGGATTTTAAAATAAAATTTGTTTGTAATGATCATGCCAAGGATGTGATCAGAGTGTCATTAATAACCTCTTTTAAGTAGCACCTAATTCTTGGTGTTGAAGCTATCAGAGTGTTCAATAGTTACTTATGGCAAATTACATTTCTTTTGCGGTAGCAGTTTCAAAGTTAATAAACCCAAACAAACAAGTGCTCCTAGATTAAAATGGAAAATGAAGGAATAGTGATATATTAGGAGTGACTGTGTGCAGAGCTTCAATCTTTGTGCATTTAAACAATTTATTTGAGATTCAGTACCTTACTATCGCAAAGAAAATTCTCAAACGTACTAAGATGTAGAATAAGAGATGTTAAAAAACATCTTTTTAAATTTGCATAATCTTACTGAGATTGTATTTATAGATGAACATAACATTATTTTAATATAATAATATGTTAAGCATCTTAAGAGATTTACATGTAAATAATATACTTATAGATATTATACATTTTGATCCATTATCTTATTAAACTCTCTGTTATAGAAATGATTGCCAGTAAATTACAAGTCAATTTGGCAAGAAAAATATTCTATACACAGGTATAAAATATATAGATATTCCATACATAAGATTCAAAAGATTCTCTATATAGATAGAGAATCTTCACAGATTTAGAAGAACGTTCAATAAATATTGGAAAACTGTAGATTACTAATAAGATTCTACAATTAATAAAAAACTCTATGTTGGGTAATACATTCTGTAAGATCATATATTCCTCAGTATTAGGTTTTCGAATGGAGAGTCAATAAATTCCAATAGTTTTTAAGAAATATTTATCTATATTTTTTGAAAATTTAAGACAAGAGATATATGTTATGCAATCAACACAAATGGAAATAAATTAGAAAATTATAAAGTCATTTATATGTCGTAGAAATCTTTAGATTTCAAAGCAAGCAGAACACTTCGCTACCTCTGATGGTACCATATACCAATAAAGAAAGGTAGTACTTACCAATCACACCTTTTCAAAAAATGAAAGATGAAGAGTCCAATTGTAGTCTTTTACCAGATAGTCCTGTGACAATGTCTCTTTTAGAGCTATATGAACTAGAGGTTTAAGTTAGCTTGGTAAGTCTGTTTTTATTGGGGATGGAGGTATCCAACCGTCACCTTACTGGTATATTTCCTTTTCTTCTTTGATTCCATACTTAGCAAGTTAATTAGAGTCTAATAAAGCAAGAGGAGATAGTGTATAAGTCACAGCTTCCAGTAAATCTGTGACATTTTCATCTCTCTATGTAAGTTTGTTCCCTGGTTGGATTTTTTTTCAAAGACATTTGATAGGAGAAATTGTTTAGAGTTAGCATTCGGGAACTGACTCATGCCTGGGTCATAATTGGATTAAGTTTTGAACTTTACAGGTTAAACTTAACATGGTGGTGCCATTTTAAACACAAATAGTGACATTAGAGAGAGACACTAATTTAGGTAATTTTAATTAAATTATGTTAAGGTTCTTAAAACTGATGGAATGACTACCTAAAAAGTAGGGGATTCTGTAATTACGCATTTGTAATTACTGAATAACTTTCTTCACCATCTTTGAACACATAGAGGTCTCTCTCTTCTCTCTCCTCTCCCTATTTCTCTCTCTTCTCCTCTCTCTCTGCTTTTCTGTTTCTGGTTCTCCCTCTCTTCTGTCCACTTCCCCATTCCTCTTCCTCCATTTTCTCCCTTCTTCTTCTCTCTCTCTTACTCTGATGATAGCTCAGTTTCACAAGACTAATTAACAAGGTATTTTATATTTTTTCTCTGAAATCTTCTCTATATGACCCCTTTCACAGCTTCTAAAAAGAGGATCACCTGTCTTCTTCCAAATTGCGAAAGGAGATAAAATTAGCTTTTGATCAATGAACTGAGCAATTGTCTCGGTGCCACATGAAGTCCACTGAACACTTAATCTGGACTGATTCATAGGGTATGACTTAGTTAATATTCCAGGAAGCACAAACACCAATTCAGCATGTCTAAATACTAATATAATTAGTACTTATACTAATGTAAATACTGAATATAAATTCTTCTGCATCAGCTGAATTGATGCAGTAGCTTTTCAAAGTAGCTTGCCCCAATTCTAAGGACTCTCATGTTGCACCTGGGTCACCAAACTAAGCCTATTTTCTTTCCATAAGGTTTTGTGTTTGGGCTGTGCTGCTCCCTTCCACTAACTGCAGGACTTGATTGAAGACCACATCCTTCAAGTATTTTTGTCCTTGTTCTTCTAAAAGTACTTCAGCTTTCTTGCAAAGGTATTTCTTCCACACTATGGGCAGCTCAGGTTAACGCAACCTTAACAGCATCATAAAAAGCACGCTTATTCCCCTTTCTCTCTCTCCTAGGCAATTGATGCTCTTTCCCATGTAAATATGTTATCTTCACATTAATATAGCTGAGTGGAGTCATTCAACTATAAATAAGGACAACTTTCCTTGTTAGATGATTTTGTTTTCTCTCCTGTAGACAGGTGAGCAGTTGATTTAAAAGTTTAACCTTTCCTCAACATGTACCTATTTCATATTTGCACCTGATTAAACATGTGTAATAGTGCAAACACAATAATGCTTTCCAGATCTCAATTCTGTTCATCGACGTAAATATCAGAGGCATTTGTTCTATACAGCGAGAAGAACTGAAACACAAGGATAGACAGTTGACTTTGTGGTTAGAGAGAAGGTTATAGGCATTGCTTACAAAATCAGAGTACCATGAGCCATTCAGAAAAGGGAGAACGATTCTCATAATGATAATGACCTTCAGTTTTATTATATCTTACATCCAAAGGGATCATAAATTGCCTAACAACTCCGTAACTACAAATGAATATGAGAATCATTTTGTATACAACTAAAATGTGTCAGCTGTCTCACAGAGCAGAAAAATTACTCAACAGTTTAGGGCCGGAACTGAACAAAAGCAGTTGAAAGCAAAAAGGACTGAGATAGGCATGAGGTAATTATACAATCTGGAAGTGGTCCATGCATCTAGGAGGGAGAGTGAAGTTTCCTCCAAGTGCTTAGGAAACTGAGAATTTAATATTACACACACACACACACACACACACACACACACACACACACACACACATTTATTCCTTCAGAATTGAGACTCAAAAATAAACCGAGAACATGAAAAATAATGAAGTCATCTTAAATGTATTGGATGATCCCATTTCAATCTGTAACTGTCTTTAATGTCTCAACTTACCTAAAGACATTCTGTGTCTATGAGAAGGAAAACCAGGCCAGGTGTGGTGGCTCACACCTGTAACCCAAGAACTTTGGGAGGCTGAGGCATGCAGATCACTTGAGGCAAGGAGTTCAAGACCAGACTGGCCAACATGGCAAAACCCCTTCTGTACTAAAAATATAAAAATTTTAGCTGGGTGTGGTGGTGCATGCCTGTAATCCCAGCTACTTGGGAGGCTGAGGCAGGAGAATCACTTGAACCTGGGAGGCAGAGGTTGCAGTAAGCTGAGATTGCACCACTGCACTCCAGCCTGGTTACAGAGAAAACTATGTCAAAAAAGGAAGGAAGGAAGGAAGGAAGGAAGGAAGGAAGGAAGGAAGGAAGGAAGGAAGGAAGGAAACCTGCACTGATTGGTAAATAGAAAACAAAGAACCAGTAACCAGCCACCATTCCTGCAACAATCTGGATACAGACAATGGATATCATTGTGATCTGCGTGCCTCGGCCTCCCAAAGTGCTGGGGTTACAGGCATGAGCCACCACACCTGGCCTGGTTTTCCTTCTAATAGGCACAGATTGAGCCCATTGATGAGTACTGTGTCCAACAACTGAAGGAATTTGAGGGGAAGACTTTAGTGTCAGTCACCAAAGAGGGCTTGGAACTTCCAGCGGATGAAGAAGAGAAAAAGAAACAGGAAGAGAAAAAAAAAAAAAAAAAACAAAGTTTGAGAACCTCTGCAAAATCACGAAAGACATATTGGAGAAAAAAAGTTGAAAAGGTGGTTGTGTCAAGCCGATCAGTGACGTCTCGTCACAAGCACATATGGCTGGACAGCAAACATGGAGAGGATCATGAAAGCTCAAGTCCTAAGAGACAACTCAACAATGGGTTACATGGCAGCAAAGAAACACCTGGAGATAAACCCTGACCATTCCATTATCGAGACCTTAAGGCAAAAGGCAGAGGCTGATAAGAACGACAAGTCTGTGAAGAATCTGGTCATCTTGCTTTATGAAACTGTGCTCCTGTCTTCCGGCTTCAGTCTGAAAGATCCCCAGACACCTGCTAACAGGATCTACTGGATGATCAAACTTGGTCTAGGTATTGATGAAGATGACCCTACTGCTGATGATACCAGTGCAGCTGTAACTGAAGAAATGCCACCCCTCGAAGGAGATGATGACACATCACGCATGGAAGAAGTAGACTAAGCTCCAGCTGAGGGATGACTTACCTGTTCAATACTCTACAGTTCCTCTAATAATATATTTTTAAGGATGTTTTTCTTTATTTTTGTTAACAATAGAAAGTCTGTATGGCATGACAACAACTACTTTAAGGGGAAGATAAAGATTTCTGTCGACTTCTAAGTGATTCTGTGATACTTTAGGCAGTAAAGCAGAGCTAGTAATGCTCTTTTAGTTTCACATTGGCTTACATGAACAGATCGAGGTAATCTGTGTTGTAAGATGTATGTAACATGTTAACTTGTTGGTCTAAAGTGTTTAGCTATCAAGCCGGATTCCTTAGTAGGCCAAATTTTGTTATCGAAGTGTTCCCAAGCTATACCTTGATGCTTAGAAGAAAAATATTTGTTATATCTTGTAGGATCTACTTTCTGAACTTTTCATCCCCTGTAGCTGCCAATTCTGCATGTACTAGTCCTCTAGAAGTAGGTTAAACTGAAGCAACTTGATGGAACTCTCTATAGGGCTTGTTTTCCAAAGAAAAGTATTGTTTGGAGGAGCAGTTATTAGCCTACTTAAGCATATCATAAGCTGTTCAAAAATAACTCAGAGCCAGTCTTGTGGATGGAAATGTAGTGCTCGAGTCACATTCTGCCTAAAGTTGTAACAAATACAGATGAGTTAAAAGAAAAAAAAATAGACACAGAATGTCTTTAGATAAGTTGAGACATTAAAGACAGTTACAGATTGAAATGGGACCATCCAATACATTTAAGATGACTTCATTTTTTTTTTCATGTTCTCAGTTTATTTTTGAGGCTCAATTCTGAAGGAATAAATGTGTGTGTATCTGTGTGTAAAGCACTGCTCTTCTGGAGGATGACAGAGTAAATTACCTCAGTCTGATCTATTAACATAATTTAGTTCATCCTTCCTACTATTTTCTCACAATAAACAAACAAACAGAAAAACCCAGATTATCATTTTTGCCATACAGGTCTACACATGGAGAGAGAATGCACTTGTTTTACGTTTCTCTTAAAATGCTAGCTTCAGTGAGAGATGTACGTTGTAAATGAACAATTTGACATGTTAGCATTGTCTTGGAATTTGGTTATTTTACATCTTCAGCCACTGAGCAACAGATCAACTTGCCATGCATTCATAAGCTCACAATTCTGCATCTCCATGGTTCAGATACAGCCCCTGAAAGATCACAAAATCACCTCTTAGGACATGTCTAATAAACAAGAAACATGTTGATGAAGCACGTATGTATTTATTTGTGCAGTCAAAACACCTTGCATGATACACTTAATAAGTGCTATTTTAGTGCTAGGCTCTGCAAGACTGAAGTTCACCTGCGCAAAAAGAGGTTGAAATTTGGGTAAGTGTATAAATTGTCTTTAGGCTGGAAAATTCCCTACGCTTTCTGATACAAACATTACATTCCATATTTTACGCACACATATAAACTCAGAGAAAATGCATAAATGTCAAGTGCCCACAAGTAATTCAATGGGGAAAAATAAAATGCATTGATTCACGTTGATGCGGATTTCTTAAGTAGCATTTTGCTCTGTAGATATACACTCAACACTGTCAATTGTGTAATAAGGACAATTGCTTCACATATCGTGAGGTACTGGTATGTAATTCCTTGCCTTTATCATTGCAACCTTTTCTACTAGCAGTCAAATTCTCTAATTTTCCCATACCAAACAGCAATCTCTAGACTTTAGTATCTCTCAGATACCTTTAAGTACCACCTTTCTCTATTTTCTATCCACAAACCATTGATATTTTCTCATAAGTATAGCATTTTTTATCATTACTGCTTTAAAATCATTTGTTTTTCCACCGTCATGGTTTGGTGCCTTTGTGGAAATAAACAGACCATACTTAGGTACGCGGGTCAATATCTAAACTATCTATGCAAATGCCATACTTTTATTGCTTACACTAATTTATTATTGTTATTTTAGAGATGAGGTCTTGCCATGTTGCCCAGGTTGCCCTCCAATCAAGTGATCCTCCCGCCTCAGTCTCCTCAGAAGCTGAGACTACAGGCACATGCCACCACACCCAGCTTATTTCCTCTAATGTTAAAGGAAGTCATAAAATTAAGTAAAATCTTCTAACTTTGCTCTTTTAAAACTTGTCTTAACTGTTCTAGATCCTCCCTCCCCTAAAAAAGGCCTGCTTTTAAAAAAATAACCTGACTTTTGTTTGGATTAAGCTGAAAGTACAGATCCATTTTAAGAAATTGGAAATTATTACCCTACTATGTCTTTCAGTTTATAAACATGTGACTCATCTGTGTTTATTCAGGGTTTTTTTATATCCTTCCATTAAGGTTATGCAGTTTTCTTAATATAGAGATTTGCACATTTGTATTAGATTTATTCCCAAGAATTTTGTGGATTTTAGTCTTGCAATCAATTGTTTTTCATTTTGATTTTCTACTTGTGTATCTGCATAATGGTGATCTACCAGGAGGAATAATTTTAAATTCTTTTTTGTTATACAGTCCCTTTATTGCCTATAGGAAGGTTACCTGTTGTACTAATTTGCAGAGAGCTTTTACTATGAACATAGGTAGACGTTTGTTAAACACTTTCTCTTTTACATCTGAGATGACTGTACATTTTCTCTTCAATTATTAAAGTATGTGAGATGTAAATTCCTAGTGAGCTCCAAGATCTTTACCCTACGGTGTTTCTGTTAAAATTTCACCATGGCCATGTAAGTCGATAGCTTATCTTTAAGGTGCAGTCACCCCTGGCCCACCAGACACAAATGCATATCTGATTGTTCCCCTGCCTCATTTTGTCTATATTACCTTAGTGGGAAGGCAGATTCCCTGCATTTTTTTTGCTCTGTCTCGTTTGTCTATGTCATCTTATGTAAAAAAAAAGAAACAAAAAATGGATATTCACTGAGCCAGACAAAAGCATGAGTAACTATTTTTCCCTACCCACCTCTTATGTGAAAATTGTGTACTTCTTAATAACCTACCCTTTACCCTTTAAATTTGGAGCCCTCAAAGTCATCTTCAGAGAAAGGCATACACTTGTCCCCTGGGCATGCGTCCTTAACTTTGGCAAATAAACGTCCTAAAATGATTGAGACTTGTCCTGCCATTTTTCTTGATTGACAGTAGTAATGGACATAGGAAATGTTTGTCAGAACCTCCAGTTAAAAAGACGGAAGTGGTTGTCATGACTATACCCCTGAAAATGCCAAATCCATCCTTTATTGATGTGAACAAATTAAATTTAGTTTACACACATGATTTTTAAAAACTGTGAAGGTTTTGAGTCACCCACAAGTTGTTTTTGCACGTTTTTCCAGTTCAGCCTCTCATCAGGCCTGGCATCACTCTTTACTATCAAAACAGAATGCTTCTGTTTGTAAATTTCTCCATTAGAAAAAGGAGAAATATAATGAGTATGATTGTTTCTTCCGGTTTCAGAAATCTACGATTGCTATCACTGCATCTTATTCATCGTGTCTCTTTGAATCATTCTCTTTGCATATGATTCTCCTTGAATTCCTGCATCTCACTCCAGTAAAAAAAGTGATAGAATATACAGAATATAAGAACTTAAGAATTGCTTTTTGGAATTTAAGGAGGAATCTGATTTAATGTGTTAATGTGGTTTGTCTAAGTCATATGTCCCACGATTAAACAACAACAACAAAAAACTTTAATATATCTGTTCAAATTTTAGCTTTTGTATAGGTTGAGATTTTTCACAACTGCAGGTCATTTTTTCCCTTACAAGTACAGGACTATATTTGATGCAACCTTGCTAAAAAGAAAGTAAAAATGTGTTAAAAGAATAAAATAAAGACATGTAAATGTATGCCCTGCCTGAAGAAGAGAGAACTTGCAATATCACTACCGATCAGGGAAATGCAAATCAAAACCACAATGTGATGCTACCTCATTCCTGCAAGAATGGCCATAATAAAAAAAAAATAAAAAAATAATAGATGTTGGCGGGGATGTGGTGAAAAGAGAACACTTTTACAGTTGGTAGGAATGTAAGCCACTACAATCGCTGTGGAAAACTGTGCGGAGTTTCCTTAAATCACTAAAAGTAGATCTACCATTTAATCCAGCAATCCCACTCCTGGGTATCTATCCAGGGAAAAGAAGTCATTGTATGGATAGGATACTTGCACACACATGTTTATGGCAGCACAATTTGCAATTGCAAAATATGGAACCAGACCTAATGTCCATCAATCACCAAGTAGATAAAGAAAATGCTATGTGTATATATATATACACTTTTACTGTAAAAAGTATACAACTGTAAAAGTATATATATATACTTTTTACTTTTTTACATATTTTCCATAGTATGTATATGCACACATATACATACTATGGAATACTACACAGCCACAAAAAGGAATGAAATATGGCATTTGCAGTAACCTGGATGGAACTGGAGACCATTTTTCTAAGTGAAGTAACTCAGGAATGGAAAATCAAACATGTATGTTCTCACTCATAATTTGGAGCCGATCTATGAGGATGCAAAGGCATAAGAATGAAGTTATGGACTTTGGGGTCTCGGGAGAAAGGGTGGGATGAGGTGAGGGATAGAAGAATATACATCAGGTAACAGCATACACTACGCAGGTGATGATGGGTGCACCAAAATCTCAGAAATCACTGCTAAAGAACTTATTTATGCAACCAAACACCACCTGTTCCCCAAAAACCTGTGGAAATAAAAATAAAAATAATAAAAAAAAGAGATCTTGGATTGACTTTGGTTATTTGCATTGGCAGAATAGAGAAAACGATTTGGAAGCAGGAGTTTCTCCAGAGAATCAATTTATTTTTATATTTTTTAAAAGGCGATTTTGTGATTCCAATATACATATATCTACATGCGTATATGTGTACACGGATGTATACATAAACACACATTTATACGTGTACATAAGCATGTATGCATAAGTCTTTTTCCCTCTAAGTGGACCCCAAAAATATTATTCCACATAGATACTATGTTCTCTTTAATTATGAATTAAATTTTTACGGTACAAAAAATAACATGGGATAATATAAATG